GTCGCCTGTTCGGTTGGTCTTCTGTCTTTTTTCTACTTTCTAGACCCTGGCATCACGTGATCGCGTCACCTACTATCAGGCTCAGGAACTAAGTGGGTGAAGGGTCGAGATGGCGGACTAGAGGGGGGGGGTGAATAGTCTTTTCTAAAATTAATCGCGTCAGCTAACCGATATAAATGCGGAATTAAAACAATCGGTCTAGCCAAGACTACACCCCTCTATATATGCTCACTAGCACCTTGCAAAGATACTAATTATGCAACTAAGGTGACGGGCTAGCTAGAGCTCTCCTAAACAATTCTAGGAGCAAGGTCACACAAACCTATGCCACTAGTACTTTAAGCAACAAGGGGAGCTCCTACACATGCTAGTAAGCAAAAGCACAAAGCCAACTAAGCTCACTAGCAAAGCTCAATAACAAGGCAACCAATGCCTAATTAGAGAGCGCAAATACTTAGCTACGCAAACTAAGCAATGTGACTAACAAGGTTACTAAAACCAAATTAGCCACGCAAGGGAGCTACTTCTATGCTACACAAGCAAGAAGGTAACTAGTAAGCTACACAAGCTAATTAATTACAAGAGCAATTACACAAGCTTAATATGTATAAAAGTAATTGCAAGCTTGTGTAATGGGGATGCAAACCAACGGGAAGAACAAGGTTGACACGATGATTTTTCTCCCGAGGTTCACGTGTTTGCCAACACTCTAGTCCCCGTTGTGTCGACCGCTCACTTGGTGGTTCGGCGGCTAATTAGCATCACACGCTAAGCCCGCACGTCGGGCGCCGCAAGAACCTACCCCTTGAGTGAGGGTACCTCAATGACACGCTTTACTAGAGTTGCTCTTCGCGGCTCCCGCGGGGCGAGCACTATGCCCCTCACAAGCACTTCTCCGGAGCGCCACACAAGCTTCTCGCGGGCTTCCACGGAGACCACCACCAAGCCGTCTAGGAGGTGGCAACCTCAAAGAGTAACAAGCACCACCGGCTTGCAACTCGATCACCTAGTGCCACTCGATGCAACCTCACGATGCAATCACACTAGAATCGCTCACTCACACAATCGGATGATCACTATCAAGTATGTGTGAGATGGAGGGCTCCTAAGCACTCTCAAGCATGGACACAAAGTCCCCCAAGGTGCTCCACCCCAGCCATGGCCGAGGGCCACTTCTATTTATAGCCCCAAGGGCTAAACTAGCCGCTACCCCTTCACTGGGCAAAAGTCGGGCTGACCGGACGCTCCGGTCGAGTTGACCAGACGCTGGACCTCAGCGTCCGGTCGTCCGTAGACGGCCACGCGTCCCGATCCCAACAGTCACTTGACCTGACCAGACGCAGCGGTAAAACTAACCGGACGCCGAAGCCTCAGCGTCCGGTCATTTCCAGTAAGCTCCCCGAGGCATATTTTCTCGACCAGACGCGTCCGGTCCACCTTGACCGGACACAGACCAGCGTCCGGTGCAATACCCTCGGTACAGTGCAGACCCATCAGTTTGACCGGACGCAGCCTTTCAGCGTCTGGTCGCTGCATGACCCAGCATTCGGTCAGTAGACCGACGCCAGCATCTTCGCGATCAACTCGTTTTCACTTATAACTTCTTCACCCTTGCTCCAATGTGCCAACCACAAGAATTTACATCCGGCGCAATATAAAATAGGCATTCCATTTTCCTAAAAGCGCTGAACCCATCTCAACCCTACAAACACCACCAAGTGTACACCACCTCCTTTGTAAATGTGCCAACACCACCAAGTGTACACCACCATGTGTACACCACCATGTGTATGTGTGTTAGCTTTGCACAATCATTTCCCAAAGGATGTTAGCCACTCAACTTGCCACGCCACTCGATCCTAGTGACGATGCAAAGTTAGATCACTCGAGTGGCACTAGATGACCGATATGCAAACAAGTTTGCCCCTCTTGATAGTACGGCCATCTATCCTAAACCTGGTCATATACTTCTCTACACACCTATGACCGGTGAAATGAAATGCCCTAGGTTATACCTTTGCCTTGCGCATTCCATTCCATCTCCTCCAATGTCGATGCAACACATGCACCAACATGATCAACAATGATATGATCCACTTCATATCATCACGTGATCATATTGGTTCATCGATCTTGACTTCACTTGCTCTTCACCGTTGCCATCGTTCATCGGCGCCAAGTCTTGCTCAAGCTTCACCGCCACGCGGTCCATCACTCCAAAGCCTTCGACTTGCCCTTCACGCTTGCAACCGGTCCATCAAGCCAAGTCTTGTCTTGATCTTCTCCACCTTGATCACATGACTCAATGTCATGTCTCATGTGCATTTAAGCTCCTTCATCATCATATGTGCGAGCTTTGCAACATCTTCAAAATATGTTGCTCACACACATATACCTGTGGACTAATCACCTGTGTATCTCACATAAACACAATTAGTCCACCTAAGTTGTCACTCAATTACCAAAACCACACAAGGACCTTTCAGTGGGTACACTTCACCTTGTGGTGAGTGTGTTTTTCTTTAATATGTTTATTGGAAGACTCCGTGCCTCCTGAAGTTGAAGAAGATTATCTCCCTTTCTCGTGGTCGAACTCTAAGTGGGCACACTTGGTTCACAGCGAGGAAATTTTCGATTTTGAACTTGAGCTCCTTATATCCTTCTGGCATGCCTTACTTGGGTAAGCCCGTGCTTGGCCGGATAGTTAAGCTGGTCGGTTACGGTCCACAACTGCTCGGCGACTCATTAGGATGGTCGGACTATGAGTCTGACTGCTCGACTATGTTTACACCTGCTCGGATAAGCTCAAGATGACATTGTACAGCGGATACAAGGTGCTCGGGGACTAGCTGTGGGGGTACAACCCTGATACCCATGGCAGACTACATGGGCTACGCCGCCAGGAGTGGTCCAACCCATAAGACGAAGACTTACAGTGCATGATACTACTCGGCGCATACCGCAAGACATCAAGGGTGATATTCTGAAGATGCTACGAGATCTGTTAGGATATGCTCGATCCCGTAATTCCTATAATCTATTATTACTTACCGGTTATCTCCTAGATCTAACCGACTTGTAACCCTACCCCCAACTATATAAGGCAGGTAGGGGACCCCTCAAAACACACGTAATATCATACAATAGCTAATACAAACCAACATACCACAGGAGTAGCATATTACGTCGTGCTGACGGCCCGAACCTGTCTAACTCTTGTGTCTCTGTTGCCTTCTTATTCTTGATTATGTGCACCTCTACCAATCAATCTACCTTTGTGGGATACCCCTCGGAGGACTGTCGATGATATTCTATCGACAAGCGTGATAGATAGGCAGGACATCAGAGGCTATGCCAGGATTATTTCATTGATGATCCAACGTCACGTGCGAAATTATTTCAGACGAAGGTATGTCATGAAACATATTTTGTAGAAAAGATGCTTATATATGTGTGTCTAATTATTTTATAGTGCAGGTTTCGAATGGGTCATACATTGTTTCTGCACATACTGCAAGCTGTAGAACAACACGATGAATATTTTGTGCAAAAAAGGAATGTTGTCGGTATACTTGGTCCTGTCTAGCTTGCAGAAGATTATAGCAGCATTTCATATGTTAGCTTATGGAGTAGCAGCTGATGCTATGGATGATTATGTCCATATTGGTTTGTCACCGCTGTTGTTGAAATTTTTGGAGACGAGTACTTGAGATCGCCTAATGAAGATGATACCGCTAGATTACTTGCAATTAGAGAAAGAAGAGGTTTTATTGGTATGCTTGGGTCCATAGATTGTATGCACCGGAGGTGGAAAAACTATTCTTATGAATGGCAAGGTATGTACAAAGGGCATGTGCATGAGCCTACAATTATATTAGAAGCTGTTGCTTCAAAAGACCTATGGATTTGGCATGCTTTCTTTGGGATGCCAGGTTCACACAATGACATCAATGTTTTGCAACGATCAAATCTATTTGCAAGGCTAGCTGAAGGTGAAGCTCCAGAGGTCAACTATACCATTAATGGTCATGATTATACAATGTGTTATTATCTTGCATATGGCATATATCCTTCATGGGCCACATTCGTAAAGACCATACCTGAGCCACAAGGTAATAAGAAGAAATATTTTGCCCTAGCCCATGAATCTTGTAGGAAGGATGATGATCGAGCCTTTGGAGTTCTACAAGCTCGTTTTGCTATCGTTCGAGGGCCAGCTCGTTTTTGGGATGATGGTACACTTAGACTAATCATGAGGGCTTGTGTTATTATGCACAACATGATAATTGAGGATGAGCGAGATGAAGAAGATGATTTCAATTATGATGTGGTGGGAGAAAATGTGAAAATTTCTCATGACTCTACACCTGAACTTGAGGAGTTTATTCAGAACTACAAGAATATTAAGGATCAACAAATTCATATGCAGCTTAAAGATGATCTAGTTGAGCACCTTTGGCAAAATCATCGGTACCTATATAAACAAATATAATTATTTTTCTATATATGGTTTTAGTTTACTCTTTTGTTGAATAATTTTAATTACAAAATTATTGTGGACATAATTTTTGTAATTACGCTTTATCATATTTTTCTTCATCTATTGTTGTCATATTTGCTTCATATATATTATTGGGAATATTTAAGATTCACATAAGCCTGAATCATATTTGAATCATATATTTTTGTGCACATAGTTCTGAAGCACATAGTACTGACACTTACACATGTATGCTGATAGAAATCACATAGTACTGACACTTTACACATGTATGCCGATAGAAAGCACATAGTTCTGACACTTAAATATGTATGTTGTACAATGCAAGGTTTGATTCAAACATGAAAAGGAATTAAAATTAAAATCTTTAGCTACTGCAGTGACGGCTCATGACCTTATACCGGCAGGACATGTAGTACTGCTGCTGATCATAAGGCATGGCACTAAGGTCCATTGCTATAATCCTCTCTTCGTCCTTCTTGTTCTTCAACTCTACCTCCTATGCCCTCAATTCTAACTCTTTCTTCCTCAACTCAAGATTTAATTTCTCATTCGCAACCCGCTCTTGTTCAAGTGCAAAAGCTTGTTTGAACCTTTCGTTTTTCTTTCGCTCCTTGTCACTATCAAATTCTTTCTTCTTCACCCACAAATTCTCTAAAGCTTCTATACAACCTTTTTTGCCACCTTGATGTAGTGCTACTTTGGCCTTCTTGTGGCCCATTGGTCTCAACAATGTATTCTCCTCTAGAGCAGCAACTTCATGTCCATCTATAGTAGTGAGCGAAGGTGTAGGCAGACTCAAATTGGAGGTTTTTTTGCTTCTTATTAGATGTCTTCCCAGCCAATTCGTCTAGTTTAGCCATCCATTTTGCTTGTCCTCTCAATTGTTTCCAGCAATCCATAAACTGAAATGATCTCTTTTGCCCCTTCTTCAGACTTGTACATAGCCTTTGCATCCTCAATCTGCACACACGCAACACCCATGTATCGAAAAGTCATTAAATTGTAATTTATGCGTCAGAGAGAATAAACATATGCTTATACATAGCTGGTCAGAACCTTATCTTGCATTGTAGCACCACTTTGTCATCTACCCGCAATCCTAGAGAGACATCCTGTGAACTTATTCACACTGTCTTGTATAGTAGACCAACGGTGCATAAGAGAATTTTGCGTACGGTCTGTGGAGAAGGGCAAGTTTTCATGGATGTAATCATGAATTCTAGTCCAATACGATTTGTGTGTTTGATTTGCTCCTGTGATTGGATCCAAACTCACATTTAGCCACGCAGAAACCAAAATCTCATCTTCCTTCTCACTGAAATTCTTTGATCTCTTGTGATTTGGTCTTGTAGAGGAGGCTGATGGAGTCACTAGCACTTCCTGTGATTGTTGCTCATTACAAGGGTTGCTAAAGTCTTCAAAATCCACTAGATGAGTGCCTTCACTCATCATACTGGTATAATAGTTTGCCACCATAGATCCTATTAAAAAATTTAAAAACACCAACCTTATATAGAGAATTAGAGATATTACTTTTACATGTACACTTAAGCCAACTTAAGCCAACTTGGTTCACATAATATCACTGTCGGTGTTTTGAGTTACCACCAACGAGTAAATTTCTAGTATTGCGTGTCTGGCTCGGATGGTGTGCTAAGAGGACACGGGGTTTATATTGGTTCAGGCAGAATATCCCTACGTCTAGTTTGTTGCTACTGCTCATGTTACTAGCACCAAAAGTTTGTAGTAGGGGTTACAAATGGGCGAGAGAGGGACAGGTCCCAAGTCTCTAGTGGAAAGAATGAACGGGTGCTGAGAGCTCGGTTGCTGCTCGGCCGTGTGCTTGTGTTGTGTTTTGATCGGTTCGAGGTTCGATGGGTTCATGTGATGGTTCGATCGAGTCTAGCCTAATTGATCTGATTTTTGTCCACCTCCATGGGACGCCTTGCTTTCCATTTTATAGACCAAGAGAAAGCATGGGTTGCAGTGGAGGAAAAGAGAAGAAACAAGAGGGAGAGGACAGACTTTAGGACCGCCGGGTCCTTCTTATCCTTTATGTGGGTCCTACCAACCCTGTAGATGTCAACAGGGATAGATCCATGTTGTGGCCCTCGTCCGCCGCTGGCACCACGCGCAGGCATCATCTACCGGTGATGGTGTTCCATTTAGTCACATTGGACTTCATGGTGAGTTGACGTGCCTGCCAGTGTTCGTACGGGGGTTAGGCACAACAGCACCGGTACGCCCAACATTGTTCTTGATGTGAACCCTCTGGTATGGCCCTCCGTGGCCACGGGTTACATCGAGGCGTGCCGGTCTCTTCCCAGGTGTTAGAGCTTTGACCTAGGCCCATGCGCTTTGTTGCAGAACCGCTTGAAATAACACACTTACGGAGGTGCTTGTCTTCCACTAGACACTAAGAACCCCGAAGGTGAGCTACATCAGGCCAGTTCCATCGAGCACACCCCATGTGAGAACCCAAAAATCCATATTTTTCCATTAGGATCACAAATAAGAGAATAAAGCTTACAACATTTTAGCCATTTCTTGCATCACTTTTCATGCAACATCAGAGTATAATATTTATTATTTATAACAGCGGAATATAACCATGTTAGCGAGTCTCAGCGGAAATAAAATCATTTAATGACAAGTTAAACATTAACATGTTGATCCGTTATATACATCATAGCAGGTTATAAGTTTTTTCATTGTAAAACATTTTGGATGAAAGTTTCAATTAAACTCTATGTCCGTAATATTAAGGAAATCCTTGTTGAGCCCACCAGGAGATTTCCACACACAAGTGCTAGCTCCACATGTTCCTGTCACCTGCAACAGGATAGAACAAACCCTGAGTACTCAATTATACTCCACAAGGCTTACCCGTTAGGAGAAAAGAAAAGACTCAAGGATATGCAAGGTTATCTGGCTCATGGGTTATTGCATCTACAGGAAGCATAACTAAAAGTGTGTCCTTATATTCAATTTTATTAGCAGTCACCATTAGTTCATTAACTAACCATTCTATATAAGCACATGTGCTACTTTCGAGCAGGTGGTAAGCAATCAGACCATTTTATCATCTTTTATATTTAGTTCTTACTACGGTGCTAGATCGTAGACAAGTCGTACCGGATTACTCGGCGATTCATGAATTAATGTGCCCAGCTGGGTACCCCAAAACACACGCCCCGCTTGTACCTCAGGCACAAGCAGGACCAACCCACCACTCTCTTGTCAAGGGGTCTAGGTCCCCATTCAAACTTGACTCCAAGCCCTACACCTGAGTCCCAGACTCAGTGTGGTGCTTAGACCTTCACCATCCCCGCCTCCAATTAGTCGGTTTGAAAAGAGCCAGAACCCACGACAAGAGAGCAACGAGCCTTCCCTGCTCCCATAAATAAGTATGTGCTTAGGCTAATAAGCATGTGACCTGCCTAGAACCCAATGCAACGACCAGGTTCTTAACCGACACAGGCGGAACAAGTGCAATCCAAGCCTCGCTCGAATGCCAAACCAAGTCTAGATCCAAAGTACCATTCCGTCCGATCTCTAATTATCATTCATATATATTCCATGTGATAGTAATATAATAACAATAATAATATATTTCCTATATGTCACGAGTGATAGACAATCACTCGACTTCTACCGGAGTCCTATAGCATAGCAATCTACACAATCCTGTCATACTAGTAAGACTCATGGGATAAGGATATATATATGTAATGGGTTTCATTCAACTCCTTAAACTTAATGCACAAGCATAAAATAAAGTGCAGAATAATAGAGGTTATGCACCGGGGCTTGCCTGTGTAAGATATAACCAAGTGAGCTTTCATCTTGGTGGCATGATCATCAAGTCACCATCTGTTTCCGTTACTCCTGATGACTCCACGATCCAACATCGCTCCTATCATGAAATACGTGGATGCAACGTAGGGACGTAAATAATCAACGACAATCGCAACTCTTAAAATACGATTACGCCTCTCAAGCTAACGAGCTAGCACTGGCGATTAACGTACTAGGCCACATATCCAAGTTGTCAAACTAGGCGCTAATTTCCTACAATGTTTTAGTTATAAAATCCCTAGGTGTTTTTTTATTTCTTTTTATTTACTATATATATAAACTAGGGCTCATTAGTTACCTTAGCAAACTAATTATTATGGAGCTAGAAAAATTACATATGGCATATAATAATACTATGGAGCTACTGTAAAATTTTAATGGACAAAACAATTACCCATTTGCCACAAAAATTCCTACAAATATTAATCTAAATAATACTAAACACTCGCAATTGATTTAATAGGCCTCAACATAAACTAACTATTCCATCAGATAGACAACATTTTTAGGAACTAAACAAAATTTATTTCATAATTTTTGGACATCTAAGCTAATTGATATTAATTTCCAAAGTTCAGCTTAGAATGTAAAATATAAGACTATTTCTATTTTCTTAGTAAAAAGAAAAGGCAATTTTGCCTCGCGGCCCAACGAGGCATGACCCACGACGGCACGAACTGCACAGCCCATGGCCCACGCGAGAGAGTCTGCGCGCTCTGCCACAGTTGCACAAAAGCCCCACGCTTAAATGAAATCACGCGGCCACTATGCGCGCTATTCATGCGGTCAGCAATCATGCGCTAATGACCCTGTAATAATTAACCTTCGCATCGGGGAGGTCCCTGGCCACCCCTGCGCACGCCGGCGTAGTGGACGTGGCACTGGACGGCCACGCCAGCCAACCAGGACCTACCCCGGCCTAGCTAGTGGGCCGACCTGCACCTACAGCCCAAGTGCCTACACTAGCCGAAGCTACCGTAGCGATGGAGCTTGCGGGTGTGACGGCCACGATGAGCGGCCACATGCGATGGCGGCGTGACCGTACCGGCCACCCTAGACCACCGCGCCGCTACTGGCTAGCATGAGAGCATCGCTAGCTTGCCGTGGTCACGGCTGCGGTGATGGTTCGGTCGAAGATAACCCGAGCAGGACTGACCACGTGCGGCCAGCGAGAGGCGGTGGCGCTCCGCGATGGTGTGCCGCATCAGCAGCACCGACAAGGTGGTAGAGGTGCAAGCGAGGAGCATAGGGTGAAGTGGAGGTGGAGGCAAATTAAGCTCATGGTGCAGTTGGCTAGGCGTGGGATGGTGCGGTGGTTGGTTGCCCTCGGCCATGGCCGAACCTGGCCTTAATGGCACGATGGAGGAAAACTCTAAAATTGGAGCTTGGCAGCGCCTCCATCACGACTTGGTAGGGTCAGATAGCAAGTAGGCATGATGACTGAACTACAGATGTGCTGAATTGAGGCGAGGTGATCCATCGCTAGCTAACCACGTGGGCGTAGCTCCGTCGGCAGTAGCGGAGAGGGAGAGAGAGAGAAGTGATGGGGCGGGACACGGGCGACGATGCAAATGTACCCACGTAGGGGCTACGGACAACGCACGCGTCCCCGACCGGCCATGGCCCGTGCGGCCACAGTGCCATAAATGGCAAGTGACGACGAGCGGGCCACGTGCGCGCGGCATCAAACTAGGCTAGTGGCGAGGAGCGGGCGCAACAGACAGACGTGAGCTCGACGGATGGGACTGCAGCGATAGCGACTATGATGTGGCATGAGGCGGTGGCGACGCATCAGCGCGCGGAGCAAGGCAGCGCCACCCCGCCGTGCGAGCGGTAGTAGCGATGACTCCACGTAGTCGAGCCAAGGTGGCCAAGATAGGGCAGCCGTGGCCGCCCAAGCGCAAACATGCGCGCACAGAGCGTACCGACGCGGTGGCGACGCGCCCCCGAGGCATGGTGACCACGCGCACACAACGAACTCTCCCGAGAACGTGTTGTGCACGAATATTAAAGCTCTCACCGCTACTAAATTGTTGCTCCTAAACTTAAACGGTCTTCACTACACTCCAGATAGTATATAAGACTACCAAATCGAGGTTTAACACTACATCACTCCTAAACCTGATTCATCAAAATAAATTGCTAAACATAGCAATGTTCAAGCTGTTGACGGACTTGAAAAATTCTAAGTGTTTGAGCTTATTTTGGTTTCCAATTGCGATTTCTAAGCTAGTGGAATTATTAGCTAGTAATATCATTTTTCGACCGCAAGTATTTCATTGCCATCTACAAAGGTTGTACTTCAACTTTATTTAAGTATCACATACATGTTTCATAGCATTTTTGCTTAAAAAAATTGGTTTTCAACCTTAAGTGATATAACATGACTATTGAATTAACTTTCATTTCACATTTTTGTTGATCGTTTCGAGTTACAGAAATTGATCTACATACTTTATCACATGCATTAACACATAAACATGATGCTCGTGACACGATTTAGTAGTTTGTTTAGGGCGTAACACCGAGGGTGTTACACGCTTGGACCTAGAGTGGTTGGCGGCGGCATGGTCTCCATCGGGCGAGACGGAGTCCACGGCCTTGGGGTTGGGTGAGGTGGAGACCCCCAAAGGTCGGGTGAGGCAGAGCCCGTGGCCTCGGGGTCGGGCCCAGAGGTCAGGCGAGGTGGAGCTCGTGACCTCGGGGTCGAGCGAGGTAAAGCCGGCGGCCTCAGGGTCGGGTGAGGCAGAGCCCTCCCCCAGAGGTCGGGCGAGGCGGAGCTCTTGACCTCAAGGTCGGGTGAGATGGAGGTCTCATCCAGAGGTCGAGCGAGGCGGAGCCCGTGGCCTCGGGATCGGGCGAGTCGGAGCCCACGCCTCGGTGTCGGGCGAGGCGGAGCCTCCCCTAGAGGTCGGGCGAGGTGGAGTCTGCCACCAGAGGTCGGGCGAGGCGGAGCTCGTGGCCTCGAGGTTGGGTGAGGCGGAGCCCGTAGCCTCGGTGTCGGGCGAGGTGGAGCCCTCCCCCAGAGGTCGGGCGAGGCGGAGCCCTCCCCCAGAGGTCGGGCGAGGTGGAGTCCGCCACTAGAGGTTGGGTGAGGCGAGCCCACGGCCTCAGGGTCGTGCGAGGCGGAGCCCGCGACTTTGGTGTCGGGTGAGGCGCAACCCTCCCCTAGAGGTCGTGCGAGGTGGAGCTTGCGTGCCTGGGGGTTGATTGGAGATGTAGTCGCGCTCTTAACTGCTCGGATGAATCAATGTTGATGGCCATTAGCTCCTCCTCTTTGGGTACCCTAGTATTGGTCCCCGACAATCACACACATATCTACACGAGCCAGGCATCAAGCAAGCAGCCAGAGAGGGAGACAAACAGGGACAGGGATAGACAATGATGACGGTGGCTGAGAAGGCAGTAGTAGGACCATCAGCAACACCAGAGAAAGCAGTAGTAGTACGAGCAGCAGCACTAGAGTAACTGCATCCAGATCTCCATTCTTAATGCAAACAACATAATCATTAGGCTGGTATATCAAAATGCCTACCCCATAATGAAACCAAAACATTGAACTACTTCCCTCCAAAATGAATAGAAACTCAGAATTTTTTCAAGGTACTAAGCATTGGCATTTCTTCAAGTGGAGTGCACTCATGCTTTCATAAATAATCTTCCTTTAGCACAAAATGCAATTGTACTAAAGGGACACTTGCCATTGCCCTCTTAGCTAGGATGGACAAAGCAAATAATGATGGACTGATATTAGGTATATGATAGACAACAATTGACAAGCCAGCTTCAAAAATAACAGAAACCCAAACATTATCACAACAGAAGATGCAATTTGCAAGAAAATAAGTTAAATCATGATCACAGGTAACTGAATTGTACTATCAGATACTATGTAAACTATAGTGCCACTGATATGCTGATACCCAAACACACATTCAGTTACTGAAAAGTTTAGGGTTTTCTGCAAAAACACTTGCAGAAGACATATTAGACTTATCAGAATATCACCCATTGCAAAGATAAAATTCCTAAAACTCATATTGTACATATAACAAGACATGATCTTCAGTAACACTTGGAGCAATTAGAAGATCTTTCTAAAGCCACGTGTACAAATTATGTTGGCATCAAGTAAACCACATTTGAGATATTTTCAGAAACCACATCGAAAATGCATGTAGTTGAACAAGCATCTGGTGCCATCCGTTATTTCAATCAGAATGGATTAGATTCTTACCACTGCAAAACATGTCAACATCGTCCACATCTTCCAAGGCCTCAGAGGTGTCGTCAGGGAAGGAAAACACCATTGGAGCATGGGGATCTGAAGCATCGCCGACATATGTCGCAGGCCGAGGAAGACCGCAGCTGCCCTGATGGGATGCGCCGCAATAGCCATCATGGGCTGGACCTCGACGTTCTGTTCACTCCAGTTGTGGGTGCCATCAGTCGGATCGATGTCGTTGCAACCAAATCCGTAGAATCGATCGCCTCCCGCACTGGGGTTGCAACCATCGGACGACGGGCCACAACCCACTTTTGTATGCGCCGCCACAGCACAAAGATGCCCGCCGGGCGGCGGCAGTCATGGCGGCCATGGCCCGAAGGTGCTCGTGGACAAATTGCAGGACGCGCAACACCTCTCTATGTCGATGATAGGATAGAGGGCGTGAAAACAGCTAGCAGAATGGCGTGGACGGGAGGAGGAGCGCGGGAATTCTCTACTAGAATGGGGCACGAGCGCGGGAAGAGAAGCACGGGTGAAAATTGGGGGGCGCCGTCAATTTGCACATATGAGGGGCGCGGGCTGAATTTTTCAGAGCGAACAAATCTTGGAGAAGGTTTGGGGAGCTGTTGGAGCGGTGTTTTTTTTTCTCTAAACACGTAAATTTCAGTTTTGAGGTATTGGCTCCGTTCGCTTCGTTGAAAAAACAAGCCGAAACACTGTTCCGGCTGATTTGTTGTGAGAAAAAAACGCTGTTTCTGCTGAAAAAACAAGCTGAAAAATACGGAATTATAAGACAAACAAACAATTCCATTATTAGCCTTCTCTTAGGAGATGCAAGAGAGATTTACTACTAATAGCACTTCTAATTCTACTAGGATTGCGTATAGAATTCTACTCGTAGAGTGCTTTACAGGGGACTCGTGGAAGTCATAGATATCAACTAAACTAACACGGTCTCATGCAAGACTCGTGAGAGTAATTGTATTTAAGGAGCAATTTAAAAGATTAGAGTAGCTACAATCACTTATACTGCTTTGGATTTGGAGTTCTACCTATAGAAGTTATAGATTTTGTGGTTGGTTTCATCAAAGTTCTATTTTTCATCAAAACGGTCCGAGGCTGCTAACAGAACCGTCCGTCCCCTACAGGCTACAGCCCTACTCCTGCCTAGGGTTGGAAGCTTCTGTATGGCCACCTCGGCGGTCGTGCCCCGCCTCGCGGGCGAGGCCTTGCGGCCCAACGTCCTAGCCTCCGCAAATGGACTCTCATCCTCGCGGGTAGCCGTTACGCGCCGCTGGCGGGGCCGCGGCGTCCGGTGCTGCACGGCTGGTAGCTCCGGCGGGGGCGCCAGCGCCGGCGCCGTGGTCCCCGGGGAGGAGTTTGTGGGGTTCTTCCGGGAGGCGTGGCCGTACATCCGGGGCCACCGTGGGAGCACCTTCGTGGTCGTCATCTCCAGCGAGGTCGTGTCCGGGCCGCACTTCGACCGCGTTCTGCAGGTATTGGAATGGTTGCTTGTGATGTTGTATTTTTGAGCATTTTGGATTGGATTCATCTGATGATTTCTTCAGAGGAATAGTACATTTTAGGTCCTGCTGTGTATTTTTGGGTTGAGCGTTGAATTTGATTTAGCTGCTTTGTACCAATTGGCCAGCTTAGTTTTTGTTTTTCTCTGCAAAAATGGTCCGACCCAAATAATTGAATCGTTTACATCAAAAAATTATGTTGGTGGATTATAATCTTTTCCATTCAGCGGGCTGGATCACACAGTTGACTTCAATGATTGGGATGGGAATTGAGCATCACGGTCGGTTAACAATTTGAGGATCCTGAGTTCCTGACTGGGATGCCAATTGTAGGTTGAGGCTATAGCTGTGTTTCCTTGTTTGGCAGCAAAATTGTATTGTAGACCATATATAATAAGAAAAAAAACAGCACTACTAAGGAACAAGGGGGCTAGACAGCATCAGTTTCCTGTTAGGTATTAGTTCTGTGTTAATCTTATTCTAAGGATGAGTGTTTTCCCACAGCTTTATCTTCTTTTATTGTCATAAGAAATTCATGTCATGGATTCCTCCTTTAACCACACTTTTCTTTTTAAAAATACGCAGGACATATCACTTCTTCATGGTCTGGGGATTAAATTTGTTCTTGTTCCAGGAACACATGTTCAAATTGATAAGCTGTTGTCAGAAAGAGGTCAGTTCTGTACAACACCCTCCACCATTCTATTTGCACATGCCTGTGCTCATAAAAATCTACCAGATTTTAAAACAAACCAGCATATAGGATGGCTACTAATCATATGTCAAGGGCGTCGAGGGTTAAGGTAGGCGCACCCCGGCTACGTAGTTCGTAGCCGTGATCCGTGATTGGGGCGAGGTTTTACCCCTCAGCGCCCGTTTGGTTGAGAGAGGGAGAGAGAGATAATTGTTCTTGCTTGATTCTCAAATGATGGATTACAAGGACTCTTATAGGCTATAGCCTTGACAGACTCTAACAAATCACTCCTAAATTAGAGGATCTCTTTCCTTTATTCTAGCCATTCACTTGATTGACTTCCCTTCATTCTAGCCACTTCCTAAACCGACACACAATTTTGCGCTTTCTTGTGTGATGACATGGCGGCCATGTCGCCTGGCCTTCTTTGCTTGCTTGGCATCCGGGCCCTTCTATTCTGGCATATGTGCGTCCCCCACATGACATCTCTCCCCGTCGAGGAGCAACTCGTCCTCGAGCTGGAAGTCCGGATACTTGGCGGTGAAAGCCTCGACATCTTCCCATGTAGTGATGCGACCGACTCGCCTTCTTCCATTGGACAAGTACTGGCGCACACCAGCCGCGCAGCAGCGTGCCCGCACGGCCCGCTCCGGCTCTGGAACCGACGCTCCATGGTGGATGGGGGGCAGCGGTGGTGGAGCATTCGGAGGCGGCCCGCGGAACTTCTTGAGGAGACCGATGTGGAACACATCGTGCAGCCGAGCGCGCGGCGGAAGGGCCAAGCGGACAGCGACATCATTGATGAGTTCGACGACGCGGTAGGGCCCGGCGCGGCTTGAGCTTGCCGATGACCGCTGGGAATGGACGATCACGACCGTGGCGAAGACGGAGGAGGACCCAATCACCCACCTGATATGCGACATGACGGTGGAGCTTGTTGTAGTGCTTCTTGTGGACCGCCTGTGCCTGCTCCAGGCGATAACGGATGTCCGCCAGGAACTCGTCACGCTCCTCCATGTTCCTGGCGACGGCAGCCACCCGTGTGTCCCCCGGTTCATAAGACCGGATGGTTGGAGGGTCACGCCCGTAGACGACATGGAACGACGTCTCCCGCAGCGAGGACTGGTAGGCGGTGTTGTAGACGTACTCCGCCCATGGCAACCAATAGCGACCAATGTTGAGGAGATCACCGGTGAAGCGGTAGCAGTACATGATGATGATGCGCGTTGGCGACTTCGGGTGGCCGTCGGACCGAGGTGTGGAAGCCGAGGTCATGTGGAGTTTAGCGCCCATCAGCGCATGAGCTCAGCGCCAAAATGTCGAGGTGAAGACCGGATCGCGGTCGACACCATGGATCGGGAACGCCGTGAAGCCGCACGATGTCGGAGAAGAAGGCTTGCGCGACGGACTCGGCGAGTCTGGGTGCGCCAGGGAATAAAGTGGCAATACTTGCTTTGAACTCATCCACCACCGTCAAGATGACGGACTTACCCGCAGACGCGTGGCAATGCCTCCACGGTCGGCGCGATGTCCGTCCGTCCGGACCCTTCGGGAACCGGGCGGGGAAATGGCAGACCTGCCGGGTGGAGATGCTCCGATTTGTACCTCGACATATCGCGACGACGGCGCAAAGTCTACACCGGTATCGCATGTTAGGAAAATGGAAGTCGCGTCGGAGGCGATGTAGTGTCTTGCCGACCCCTTCATGCCCGTCCTCGTGCACGCCACCATGATCTCTGGGACGGCGGGGGCCGGGGGGGAATGTAGGCGGCCACCGAATCGACCACGCCGTCGACGAGTGTCCATGGTACGCCGCGAGAGCTGCACGAGCTTCGTCCCGTATGGCGGCGAGGCGGTCGGTGTCTGCGCTGAGCGGAGGCGCGTGGCGAAATCGAAACGCGGGACGGAGATGGCGACAAGGACCCCCTCGTCCGTGTCATGGCGAGACAAGGCGTCCGCCACCACGTTCGCGGCGCCCGGTTTGTACTCGATGGAGAAGTCGAAGCCCAACAGCTTCCCCACCCAGTGGCGCTGGGGAATCGTGGCGAGACGCTGATCCAACAGGTACTTGAGGCTATAATGATCCGTCTTGACGATGAATCGACGACCTCGAGGTGCACGGTGCGCCCGATCTTGGGATGGCGTGGACGAGGCCGATGAGCTCCCGCTCATAGGCGGCGAGGGAGCGATGGCGTGGCGCGACGGGGCGACTGAAGAAGGCAATCGGGTGCGTGTCCTGGATGAGCACTACGCCGAACCCGTGCGAAGAAGCGTCGCACTCCACGACGAAGTCCTTGGCGAAGTCCGGCATCGCCAGGATCGGGGCCGAGGTGACCGCCGCCTTGAGTGCGTCGAAGGCCACGGCTATTGCGTCGGTCCAGGAGAACCCCTCCTTGAGGAGGCGGTCGTGGCCAGCGGAGACGAGCCGGTTGTGGGCGAATTTGCGGTAGTACCAGCCAAGCCAAAGGAAACCGCGCACGCGCTCAAGCCCGAAACGAGGCACCGGCCGATCATGGATGGCTTTGCACCTTGGCGGATCCATGGCGACACCCGCCTCGGAGATGAGCGTGACCGAGGTAGGAAACAGGCGACACAGAAGGCGCACTTCGCCGCTTGATTTAAGAGATGGTCTTTGGCGCGGCATGGAAGGACGACGCGGAGGTGGCGAAGATGGTCGGCCCATGTCTTCTTTGTATATCAAAATGTCGTCAAAGAAGACAAGGACAAACCGGCGGAGGAAGGAGGCGCAAGACGTCGTTCATGGCGCTGGAATGTCGGCTGGGCGCGTTACCTGACCGAACGGCATCACCAAGAACTCGTAGAGGCCCTCGTGTGTGCGGAACGCTGTCTTGTGTACATCACCCGGCCGCATGCGAACTTGGTGATACCCTGAGCGAAGGTCCAGCTTGGAGAAGAATCGGCGCCGTGGAGTTCGTCGAGCAGTTCGTCCACTACGGGAATGGGGAACGTGTCCTTACGGTGAGGGCGTTCAGGGCGCGGTAGTCGACGCAGAAACGCCAGGATCCGTCCGCCTTCCTAACGAGGAGGACCGGCGAAGAAAACGCCGACGCGCTGTTGCGGATGATGCCCTACTCCAACATGGCGGCGCATTGCCGCTCCAACTTGTCCTTGTGGGCCGCAGGGTACCGGTATGGCCAGACCGCCACCGGCTGCGCGCCCGGCTTGAGGACGATGCTGTGGTCGCGGGCGCGCGGAGGCGGGAGCCCCTGGGGCTCGGCGAAGACGTCCCCGAAGGATGCCAGCAGTTCGTCCAGGAGGGACTCGCTAGCGATCGTGGTGCGGACGGCGGCCGCGCTGGTCGTCGCCACTCCCGTCCGGCCTGCTGCGCGCCCGACGCCGAAAGACATCTTCTGCAGCCGAAGTCCCGAGCACCGCCCCAAGGTCGCCACGACCACTGCGTCTGGGGACCGGTCGTGCGGCGAGTGGCATCACGAAGAGATCGACGCGGAACGTGTCGGTGCCAATGGTGAGCGGTGCCTGCCGAATGACGCCAGGGCAGGAGACCCGCTCGCCATTCGCCACTGTCGCCGTGAGTCGTGGGCGACGCTGCAGAGGCAGACCGGTGCGGAGAGCCGCGTCCTCGGCAACGAAGTTGTGCGTGGATCCCGAGTCGAGGAGCGCGGTGAAGGCGGCAGCACCCACGGCCACCTGGATCTGCATGGTGTCGCTGAAAGACAGCCCAGCGATCGCGTTGAGGGAGAAGTGCGGGGGGTCTCCTCGCCGGCGGCGTCCTCATCCGCAGCGGCCCCGTCGTCGGTGTCGTCCTCGATGACGCTATCGAGGAGGAAGAGCCGCTTGCAGACCCGATTGTGCCCGCAACCGAACTTTTCATCGCAGTTGTAGCAGAGGCCGAGACGACGACGCTCCTCCTGTTCTGCCTGAGTCAGCCGACGAACCGGCCGGCCCTCCACAGTGATCGTGGCCGGCGCAGCCTTGTCCGCCTTGTCCCCCGGGCGCCAGTAGTCTGAAGTCGCGCGGTCTGCGGGCACCGGCGAGGCAGCACCGATCTGTTGGGACGCGCATCTGCATGGCGACGTAAATATTCCGCATAAGTTGATCTTATGGGCGAGGCTCATAGCCGCCACCAAATGATCGGGGATTGGGATCTCGACATCATGGCTGAGCGGTGGAAGGAGGCCAGCGGTGAACAGCTGAACGCGCTGCGCCTCGTCCAGGCGGCCCGCGCGAGGTAGTAGGGCCTGGAACCGGTCCTGATACTCCTCCACGGTACCGGTTCGGTGGCAAGCCGCCAACTCGCCGAGGGGGTTGGAGCGGAGGGGAGGACCAAAGCGCAGGTGAAGGAGCTCCGTGAAGCGGCGCCAGGAAGGAGTACCCTCGTCCTGCTGGACTTGGTAGTACCACATCTGGGCGCCATCCTCGAGCTTGTACGACGCCATCCAGAGCTTCTCCTCCTCCATGATTCGCTGTTGATGAAAATAAGATTCACAGCGGTTGATGAAGATCAGGGGATCCGACTTGCCATCGTAGCGCGGAAAGTCGAGCTTTTGGAAACGCGGCGGCCGATCTAGGTGGTGCTCCCCCGACCCGGAATGTGCGGAAGATGACGATCCCCCTGGCGGCGGGCGCGCGGCGTCCAGGCGCTGGATGGCCAGGGCGTTGGCCTCCACGGACGTCTGGAGGGTCCTGATGGACGCGACCAGGGAGTCCAAAGTCGCCTGCAAGGCCGTGGTGTTGATGGTGTTGTCGGCCATGGCGTCTACTCGAGGCGATGGTGACGGCGTGGCGGCGGATGGTGGAGGGGCGGCTGGAGTTGGCGAACTGGATGAACTAGATCACCTAGACCGTGATACCAGGTTGTCAAGGGCGTCGAGGGTTAAGGTAGGCGCACCCCGGCTACGTAGTTCGTAGCCGTGATCCGTGATTGGGGCGAGGTTTTACCCCTCAGCGCCCGTTTGGTTGAGAGAGGGAGAGAGAGATAATTGTTCTTGCTTGATTCTCAAATGATGGATTACAAGGACTCTTATAGGCTATAGCCTTGACAGACTCTAACAAATCACTCATAAATTAGAGGATCTCTTTCCTTTATTCTAGCCATTCACTTGATTGACTTCCCTTCATTCTAGCCACTTCCTAAACCGACACCTAGGCTGGCGCCTGCCGTGGTGACCACGGCGACCATGTCGCCCTGGCGCGCTGCTGCACGCCTGGCATCCCGGGCCCTTCTATTCCTGGCATATGTGCGTCCCCACATGACATCATATAAAAACTATTATAAGAAACTTAGAGAATTGTTTAGCTGCTGTGGCATATAGTTTTCTTAGCCATTTGGCCCTCAGAGCTCCAGGTCAATATATTTAATATGCTTGCAGACTATCTTGGCTATAATTAGAATTTGGTGAAGTGCATACATTAGTCAAAATCTGAAGCTTTGTTAGCCTTCAGTTGCTTTTGATTGCACGCAGACTAACTTTTTTCTACACTGTTCTGTCCTTTTGCTAACATCTATTGGTTTGATGATTCTTACTGCATTTATATATCTCTTACTTTCCTATAAAGCATGTGTTTAGCTTATTAAATTTTGTGTAGGGAAGAAGGCCAAGTATGTTGGTCAGTACAGAATTACTGATAAAGATGCGAAAGATGCTGCAATGGATGCAGCTGGTAGGATACGGTTGACGATAGAAGCTAAACTTTCTCCTGGTCCTCCAATGTTAAATCTCCGTAGGCATGGTGTTATTGGACGTTGGCATGGTCTTGTGGATAACATTGCAAGTGGCAACTTCCTTGGTGCTAAGGTGAATATCTATTAGTAGCTGAGCTTTTGAATATCTGGCTTCCATGTAGTTATTATATATTTATTTCGTAGCTTATTCTTTGTGAATTCCAATGTTTGTAAATGGCTCTTCATAAGAAAAATAAAACAGTATTTTTCTTTCCTAACTTTTCATTACACCATAATAAAATCATACAATCCATAGTGAAACCGGATGCTCCACAAATAGGAGTATGGTTATTATTTGTGTTCATTGTCTTGCTTTGTTTGTGCTATTTATTAGCTCTGCTGAACTTTACTCGACTGCGCAATGGCGATACTGAATATATGTTTTTCTTTGGCAGAGAAGAGGAGTGGTTAATGGTATTGACTATGGATTCACTGGTGAAGTTACGAAAATAGACGTTTCACAGATAAGAGAAAGGCTTGATAGTAATAGCATAGTTGTTGTCAGCAACATGGGATACTCTTCATCAGGAGAAGTGTTAAATTGCAAGTATGCTTTCTTAATAATTATTATTATTTTATGTTTTTTCGTATGATTGTACAAAAAAAAATTTGTAGTTCTATTCTTACCACCAAGTCGAGCATAATATCATATGAATGACATGTGCAACTGTCCTATCTTGCAATTAATTTTCATAAAACCTGCTTCGTTGCATATATTGCAGCTAGCATATACTAAACAAAATTGTTTTGTCTTGTTTGCTATAATTCAGCACCTACGAGGTTGCTACTGCATGTGCTTTAGCCATGGAGGCAGATAAACTTATCTGCATTGTAGATGGTCAGATATTTGATGAGCATGGACGAGTCATTCATTTCATGTCTATTGAGGAGGCAGATTTGTTGATTAGAAAGCGTGCTAAGCAAAGTGATATCGCTGCAAGTTATGTCAAGGTTGTGGACGAGGAAGGCATCAATTCTCTGCATAAAGGGGACAACGGACCATCATTGAGTGCCAAGGCTCATATTATAAATGGGTATGCTGCTTCTTTTCAAAATGGATTAGGTTTTAACAATGGAAACAGTATTTATTCTGGTGAGCAAGGGTTTGCTATTGGTGGTGAAGAACGGTTAAGCAGATCAAATGCTGCTTCTTTTCAAAACGGATTGGGTTTTAACAATGGAAACGGTTTTTATTCTGGTGAGCAAGGGTTTGCTATTGGTGGTGAAGAGCAGTTAAGCAGATCAAATGGCTATCTTTCTGAGTTGGCTGCGGCAGCATATGTGTGCCATGTAAGTGTTTTGCCCACATGATACTCTTTATTCTGTTATAAATTCTGTGGCCCTGACTGAAGACTAATATTTTTCTATATAGTGCCTTAGTATGTACATTCACCTTTTAAAAGTTATCCTGTACAAAGCAGTAAAATTGTCTTCTGAATTTCCTACCTACAATTAGTGTTCTTGATTAATATATAGTGATCATGCGCTTCGTATATGGGATCTGCATGCATGGTTGATGCTGTGCTTCCTGAAGTGTTTTCGTAAGGAAGGCAGCATGTTGTAGTATGTTATATGCATGCAGCTTCTCAACTTACTGGCTGTTTGCATCGTGGGATAAGAGGATGGGAATGGGATAGGGATTGAGATATGAACTTGGTTGAGAATAGAGTTAATATATTGCAAAATGGGAAGGGTGGAGGGCTGGAATTAACGTGGCTTCTCAACTTACTGGCTGTTTGCATTGTGGGATATAAGTGGATAGGGGATTGATATATGAACTTGGTGGAAATAGAGAATTAATATATTGCAAATTTGACAACTGGGAGTTCAATACAACTGGCAGCTTGGTTGGCTCTGGTTACGTACGCACTATGGGATTTTTTTTTTGCTCTTGGGTAATGGTAGAAAATATTGCGAAGTGGGAGGATGGAAGGCTGGAATTAACACAGCTTCTCAACTTACTGGCTGTTTGCATAGCAGCAGCATGTTGTAGTACAGTGGAGCATGTAGCTATGAAGTTCACCTGGAGATTACAGGGTTGAGCTTAGTTTGCGGGAGCTGGGAGGAAACATGCGCTGTGATCTTTGCATTTTTCTCTTTCTACAATGAAAGCAGTTGTCCAGTGCACAGCTACTATATTGCGTTGGAATGTTTAAGCTTACAATTTGGTTAAAGCCTCTATTTGTTAGTTTGACTATCTATTTGTTCCTTCCAAATGTCAGGGTGGCGTTCAAAGAGTTCATATTATAGATGGATCTGTAGATGGATCACTGCTATTAGAATTGTTTACGAGAGATGGAGCAGGAACAATGATAGCTAGGTATTTTGAAGCTCTTCTTTTATCAACTTTTTGCTCAAATTTGTTGTTTTAGAGTTCATTTCAATAATCCAGTGCCTGCATTATCTTTTATCAACGTGGGTGCTATATCCTAGATATGTAGTATAATTCGTTTTTGTAGTCCTTATTACTAAAAGAAACATTTTCATATGAGTAATGAAATGCCTTAGTATGTGTCGAGTATGGAGATATTCTTGGCTGAAATTTATGCTTGTGTAACAAATGTTTGCCATGAAAATTTTGAAGAAATAAGCGCCTTTGGAAATTTAGCATCTACAATCTGTCATGGGAGTTCCCTAATCCTTACCATATGTTTTCAGGGATGTTTATGAAGGAACAAGGATGGCTACAGCGGAAGATCTTCCTGGCATAAGAAAAATTATTCGGCCACTGGAGGATTCTGGCGTTTTGGTGCGGAGAACAGATGCAGAGGTGAGTTAGTGGATAAATACTTTCGATTCTAACATTCTTTTGTATCTTCCTTGCGCTATGCTTTAATTTTGTTCTTGCTACTGCTATAATGGATCTTTCTTTTCTATTCTCTTCAGCTTCTTGAAGCGTTAGAATCATTCTATGTTGTTGAAAGAGATGGTTCAATCATCGCTTGTGCTGCTCTATTTCCATTTCCCGAGGAAAAATCTGGTGAAGTTGCTGCAATTGCTGTATCTGAAGAATGTCGAGGAAGAGGTCAGGGGGACAAGTTACTTGGTATGTTCTTTGCTACATGGATAATCAGAATCCGTTCTCTCTTCATTGGTTATATGGCAACCCTCTGCCAGGTTGCCACAACCATTTCTCCAACACCTGCGCACATGTTCCTTTGTGCGCTTTCTCACCTGCGCACACAATCCCTAAATATTATAACAAGATAACAGTCCACCTACCATTAATGTGGTGTTAAAGAGGGGGTCTCTGTTTTTTCAGTTAGCGTATCCTTTTACCCATTTTAAAGGAGTTTCAGTCTTGTGGCATTTTTAATAGAACAGGCTAAGAAGTCCTTTTTTTTGTTACTCATGGTGGTTGTCATTCTACAGATTATGTCGAGAAGGTGGCATTATCCCTTGGTCTCGAGAAATTATTCTTGCTTACTACACGAACTGCAGACTGGTATTTACCTTTGTTCTTCTCTTGACTCATTACTATGTGCAAATAGTATTTTTACCTTTGTTCTTCTCTTGACTCATTACTATGTGCAAATAGGAGCAATGCTCTGGTTTTCAGTTTTCTGTATGCTTGCTTCTACCTTGTGCTTAATTTTGAACTGTCGCAGGTTTGTGCGGCGTGGCTTTTCAGAGTGCTCAATTGAATCTATCCCCGAGCAGAGGAGAAAACGTATCAATTTATCCCGTGGATCCAAGTATTATATAAAACAGCTGCAACCAAAGCCTGCTGGGGTTAACGCCAACAATTTTGTCATCAGATGACTCAGCATGCACGGAGCTGGGTGCCACAGAAGATATCAGCTAAGATTACACCAATTTTGCGCTTGCCCAATGGCATAACTTCACAAAGAAACAAAACACCATTTTACTGTCGCTGTATTTGAGAGATGATATCCTCCTTGTTTAAGTATTTTAAGGAAGTTTGTTTCGCCAATAGAATCAAGGCAGAGAACAAATAGCTGATTGAATTATATGTAATGTAAACTATTAACAAGCAATACCAAATAGAGGCATGCAGTCAGAACTAGTGAAGCAATTGGTTCTATAGTATCCATAGATGTGTCAGTCTCCCCCAACAATCCTAAGGTTAACCCCCGCAGGGGAGATAGGACACGTCACCCCAAAATCTCCCAGTCACAAGTTCATTCGGTACAGTCTCCCGAAGTCTCACAGCCACATTCACTTGGTAAAAAAAAAATCTTACCAGCCACTCTTCCTCGCAAAAAAGAAGCCGCCTGGTCTCTCTCTCTCGGTCTTCCCAGGCGGCGGCGAGCGTGGCGACGGCGCACCACCGTGGGTGGAGCGGCGGCGGCCCCTTCCCCCTCCGCCTCCTTCCTCCCTCTCACTCTGCTCTCGACCTCCTCTCTCTTTGCCTCTCCCTCTCTCTCTCCACGCGGCGGCGCATCCAGGCAGATAGGACGAGGCGACAGCGCACCAGCCAGGCCGGCCAACGGCGCGGGCTGCCTGGCGACGCCTCTCTCTCTTCCTCTCCCTCTCCCTCTCTCCAGATCTGCGTCCGCATCGGTCGGCCTCCGGCGCACCGGCGTGGCAAGGCCCCGGCGGTGGGCGCAGCCGCCTCCCCTCCCCCCGCTGCGCGCATCTCTCTCTCGCGCGCGGCTTCGCTTTCGGGGTGGCGGCGCGCTGCCAGGCCGCGAGCGTCGGTGGATCCCCGCTACGTGTGTGCGGCGCACCAGCATGAGCGCGCCCGGGGTCCATGCCTCCGACATGGCGCCAGCGGCGAAGTGGGCACCGCCGGTGGCCACGGCTCCCCCGCGGGGGCGGCTGGTGCAGTGGTCTACACGGCTCCACTGTTTGCTCGCGTTGTTTGCTCGCATGTTGGCTCCCGCCCCCCTCCCTCGCTTTACCTCTATTCAACCCTCCTTCCCTTGCATGATTTTTCACTGCATGTGAGATTTGGAGGGGGAATCTTGGTCAAAGGAGGCAAATGAACAAGAAAAGTTCAGTTTCAGCCTAGATCTATTTTTGTCCCCTTGTCTTACCGGTTTGCATGCTACTAAGGATTGTTTTGCGTTTTGTAGGTTGTGGCCTGCTCGGTTCGGTTGGATCTTGAGAGCACGCAATTATTGTGCCATGGATTTGAGCATGTGACCTTCAACACTGTAGTCCTGATGGTTTCTGGTTCGTTGTCTGCATTTTGGTCACCTACAATGATGAATATACTTTTCTCTTGCCGTTACATTTTACTTCGGGAATGGGCTACTGCAGTGATGATTATTGTAGTGTTTGATGCAATGATCATGAGCGATCTTTCCATGGTCTACATCTCTTCCTTCTTTCTCATGCTAATGAGGCAATGCTCATGAGCTATGATGATTCTTCCTTCGTTTTGCATCTCTTTGCTGTGTCCATAACTGAGGCAATGATCATAGGTTGTTCTATTTTTGCCATCTCTTTGTACCTGTTCCGTGGTAATTGAGGCGATGGTCAATTGGTTGTTCCTGATTTTTAATGCATCTCTTCCTACCTGTTCTAATTTGTGTGGTTTGGAGACACCAATGAGGGGGGTAATATTTATTGCCTATTCAGTCACGGACTATGCGGCTGCAATTATCTCTTTGTTATGAAATCTCGGCTTCCGATGACGCTGCTGAAAGGTCCTTATGTGGTGTTGGTAATTGAGTGACAACCTATGTGGACTAATTGTGTTTATATGAGATACACAGGTAATTAGTCCACAGGTACATGTGTGTGAACAACATATGCTATGGAGGTGGAAATGGCTCGGAGATGTTGCAAAGCTCACACATGTGATGATGAAGGAGCTCATTGCAGATGAGACATGACATTGAATCATGTGATCAGGTGGAGAAGATCAAGACATGACTTGGCTTGATGGACCGGTTGCAAGCGTGAAGGGCAAGTTGGAGGCTTTGGAGCGATGGACCGCGTGGCGGTGAAGCTTGAGCAAGACTTGGCGTCGATGGACGAAGGCAACGGTGAAAAGCAAGTGAAGTCAAGATCGATGAACCAATAAGGTCACGTGATGATATGAAGTTGATCATATCATTTGGTGATTGGTTGGTGCATGTGTTGCATCAACCATGGAGGAGATGGAATGGAATGCGCAAGACAAAGGTATAACCTAGGGCATTTCATTTCACTGGTCATAGGTGTGTAGAGAAGTTTATGACTAGGTTTATGATAGATGGCCGTACTATCAAGAGGGGCAAACTTATTTACATATCAGTCATTGTCGGGGACCTAATACCGGGGTACCCCAGAAGGTGGAACAAATAACCACCGAACGTTAAAAAACTTCTGGACGCATAGGAGCGTTGCTTCACCCCTCACGGGAGTGACAGGAGCTTGGTTCCATCTCGCCCGACGCCTTTGGGGTGGGCTTGGTCTCGCCCGAGGGCCCAGGGCTAGTCTCCGTCTCGCCCGACGCCTTTAGGGCGGGCTCGGTCTTGCCCGAGGGCTGAGGGATAGACTCCGCCTCGCCCGACCCCGGAGGAGCAGGGTCGGTCTCACCCAAGAGATAGGGATTGGTCTCCGCTTCGCCCGACGGCAAGGAACGAGCCTCACTCTGCTCCATATCTAAAGATTGGATTCATCTTACCTGACCACTTCTCCTTGTTCCTTCAAGATGATAGAGACAGGGCAAGACAAGACGTTTAGGTCAACCGTGGCTCCAAGAGCCATACCCTGCACCCTGGCAGGAAAAGTACTGCCAGGGGATGACGGGACGGGCGCTTTAGGCCCTTCTAGGCGCCGCAGAGCCCGAAAGGTGTCACAGGTGCGAGCTCTCCACCCTGTAGAGTTGTAGGCGCCGCCTTCAGCTCTAGGACACGGAACCCGACGAAGATATGCGACAACCGCTACGCTCCAGAAAAGGATTTGCTATCTCCACGAACGACGGATATTCCATCACCACGCTGTGGACCTAAGGGAGCGGCGCCCGCTTCCCGACCCCTCAGGTCCACCAAGACAGAAGACCTTGGCCACGGCGCTACTCCAGACCCCGACCCTGCGTCCCTTCGACGAAGACTCATAGGAACCAGAAGGCGTGCGGAGCAAGGCTGGGGAAGGCTCAAAAGTCAAAACCACTGTACTGCGGCCCATACCCTGCGCAGGGTAGCATTCTGTAACCAACCTGACATTCTACAGAGACATCGACAGTATTGTAGGCGCTTATCTTCCTTCGCACTCATTAGAATGAAGGACCAGGCCGGGTAGACGTGAGCCACAAGACTAAGTAGAGTACGCATCCTAAAGCCGTCACCCTTGTAAAGCCAACCCCTTCATCTATAAAAGGGGATGCGCTTCCTCCATAAAGGAGAGGGAGAAGAAAGATCGAATGATACGACTCACAGATACACACAGTCAAGTTGTGTCGAACCTCTTGACATCCCTTCAACCCTTCCATCAGAGACTTGGGACCAGTCCCTCTCTCGATCGTTTGTACCCCTTACTACAAACCGTTCACGGTGCTAATAACACGAGCAGCAACAAACTGGACGTAGGGACTTTCGGCCCGAACCAGTATAAATCTTGTGTCCCTTAGCGCACCATCCGAGCCTAACGTGCATTACTATAAATTTACTTGCCGGTGCTTGTACGAAACACCGACAATCATCTAGTGCCACTCGAGTGATCTAACTTTGCATCGTCGCTAAGATCAAGTGGCGTGGCAAGTTGAGTGGCTAATCCTTTGAAAAATGTTTGTGAAAAGCTAACACACATACACATGGTGGTGTACACTTGGTGTGTTGGCACATTTGCAAAGGAGAAGAAGTAGGAGTTGTTGAGGATCAACTCGATGAAGAAAAGGAGGCGAAAGGAGGTCACTGTGAGTGACAGGACGCTGGCCTCGGCAGGACCAGCGCGTCCGGTCAGTGGCAACAGTCGAGCGTGCGGTCTTGGTCTTGTTACCAGACGCTGACGCGAAGAGTGACCGGACGCCCAGGGCCTACGTCCGATCAGGCTGACGTACGCTGACGTAGGTAGGCGCGAGAAGTCAGTGAGGACCGGACCCTGAGCTGCATCCGGTAACCTGTGATCGGACGCGTCCGGTCACAAAACAGAGGCTCGGGGAGCTCTCTGGAAATGACCGGACTCAGGTGTTGCGGCGTTCAGTCATCCTCGCTGTGCTACGTCCGGTCGTCGTGTGACCGTTGGTGCGTGAAATTACCGTTGTGATCGGGTGGCTCCAGTTGAACACAGAGCGACACATGGACGGCATAGCGTGACTGGACATTGGCAGGGTGCGTCCGGTCGATCTGACCGACACGTCCGGTCGTCCCGAAATCTGCCCAGTGAAGGTGTAACGGCTATTTTAGCCCATGGGGCTATAAATAGAAGTATTGGCCGGCCTTTGGCATAGTAGGTAGCACACTAGAGCCTTGGTGGCTTATGTGGTAGTGCTTGGGAGCCCTCTAACTCACTTGAGCTTGATAGTGTTTATCCGATTGAGTGAGTGAGCGATTCTAGTGCGATTGCATCGTGAGGTTGCATCGAGTGGCACTAGGTGGTTGTCTTGCAAGCCGGTGATGCTTGTTACTCTTGGACGTCGCCACCTCCTAGATGGCTTGGTGGCGGTCTCTGTTGAAGCCCGCAAAAAGCTTGTGTGGTGCTTCGGAGAAGAGCTTTGTGAGGGGCATTGTGCTCGCCCCGCGGGAGCCGCGAAGAGAAACTCTAGCAGAGCGAGACGCGAAGGGCGACAAGTGGTCCGGGCGGGTCAAGTGCTAGAGCTTATGGTAAGCACTCCACGTGGGAGAGTGTGACTTGTGGGTCACCAGTAG